ATTGCAACGAATAGAGAGAGAAAATTTCAAGGAAGAATAATAGGAGACGGTGAGACTAGAATATCAAAAAGGACGCAGGAGGCGAGACAAAGAAAGGAAGTGGGATAAATAAACAGAGACGCCATCTTTTATCTCTCTTTAAATGGAATGACTGTAACAATGGTAATGAAAGGACGAATATGGGGAATATGCAAATGAGATCATTATTTAAAGAAACAGTAAAAAGGTAGAGAAGTTGCAATTGTTCATATTCTAAACCTTTGAAACGATTTAAAATCCAATAAATTAATACTCATAAAAGAGTTTTGCTTGATAAAGGTTGGTGAGATAGAAATCCTAAGTCCACATCTGTGCAGGAATAGGAACATTGAGTCTGATCGGCAGAAGGAAACTGTGCCGACCAGAGCATGGACTGAACACCGGTTCCTCTATGTTGCAATATTTACCTTTGATGCTAATAAAAGGGACTGTTATTTTTAGTCTTCTGAAGATCTAATATTGAAGATTACACTTTTGTGATTATGTTGCGATATAGCAATAAAGATAATAAGTATAACCAGGGCAGTTACAGGCTCAACAATACACGTCTTAATGTACACTTAATCCAGTTTTTCCCCAAATGTTTCCGGCAGCTCTCCCCATTTACTCGACTGAACTGTTGATGAAACCCCCCCTCCCCGCATTGACACATTTGCAGCCAGTGCTTCAAAACATTAGTGAACTTAAATCTAAACGCCGTAATTCCTACGGAACTGCTATTCTGTTTGAACAAGGGAAGATAAATAAATCAGACTTATTCTGACCTTTAGGATTTTCCAATGGATGAGTTAAGCTCATAAGTCATATCCAGCAAGCTAGAATCATTCCTTATGGACCGGCGCAGGGAAAATCCAACCCTGATGTCAGATGCTCAGCCGTTGGCCTTTTTAACCTAAATGGAAAAAAAAAAAAAAAAAAAAAACCATGCATCACACACACTCTTCTCTCGTGTCCCCCAGGAGAATCGACCAAGAGGCACAGATGTTCTTCAGCTCACAGTTACTGATAGGGATGCTTCCCACAATGGCCCGCCCTTCACCTTCACCATCGTGGATGGGAACGAGGGCGATGCCTTCCACATCAATCAGCATGGAGCACTGTTAGCTGTGGGGGCGCTGAACAAGAAAAGCAAAGACCACTACCTACTCCAGGCGCAGGTGAGTCACAGCACGAAAACAAGAGAAACCGGAGTTGAGCGCTTGTATCGATTGCTCTGTCGAGACCCTGCAACGCAATCTATTTATCTTCCCTCGTTTTCCTCTCTGTCACCAAATTAATTTCACTCTCCAGTCGCTGTGTACATTCACTGTTCAATCTATGTAAATATACATCGCTACATAAGCTTGACATCCGCGCGCAGCTTACTTTTATTATTGTCAAAAAAAAAAATAAAACTGCATCGACAGAGTAGAAAAGCATAAATTAAACCCATCGGTTCAGACATGCCACGGGAAAGTGTGCCGCTGGGCGTTCCTTTGTCGACGCACAGAGGAAAGAAGTGGACAGGACGGAATTAGATTTAAGTGTGAAATCCTGTTGAGATCTTGAAAATCGTGGTGGAGGTTTGAACGTCTTGTGTCTCGAGTGCCTGACCTGCAGAAGTTCCATTGGCTTCACATGATGAAGAGACAGAATATCAAGTCTGCATAAGGACATCAGCCATTGAAAAGGCTTGATTGCCCTCTGTTGTTCGAAAAGAGATAACATCCTAACAGAACACACGTTATTTTTTTTTTATTTCAGGTGACAGACAGCGGCAAACCTGCGCTGTTCTCCACGGCTTTCGTCAGTGTTCGCATCATCGAAGAGAGCGTTTACCCTCCTGCCATTCTTCCTCTGGACATTTTCATCTCCACCGCTGGTGACGAATACTCTGGCGGCGTCCTGGGCAAGATCCACGCAACTGACCAGGACATTTACGACACCCTCACCTACAGCCTGGCTCCGACCGCTCCCTCCTACTCCTCGTCGGTGGATGACGGCGGCGCCTTGTTTTCCGTTTCTGCCACTGATGGTAAAGTGATTGCAGTAAGGCCGCTGGATGTCGGTCACTACTCTCTAAATGTGACGGTCACCGACGGTCGCTTCACCACAGCCGCCGATGTCACTGTGCACGTCCGCCAGGCCACTGGACAGGCTCTGGACAACTCCATCGCGGTGCGCTTTGCAAACATCGCTCCCGAGGAGTTTATCGGCGATTACTGGCGCAACTTCCAAAGGGCACTGAGAAACATCGCTGGGGTGAGGAGGAGCGAGGTGCAGTTAGTAAGCCTGCAGCCATCGGAGCAAGGGGATCTGGATGTGCTGCTGACTCTAGAAAGATCCGGGAGTCCCTATCAGTCTCAGGAGGTGAGTCCAAAATTCAATTGAAGGAAACAGAGTGTATAGAATATTGGCTGAGAACGCGAGGTAGATGTAAATAAAGTAGCAGCAAGGCCACTTAGTGGGAATATAATGTGAATATAAGAGACAGCTGCTGGTACAGACCCATCAAAAACCTCTACCCATTAATGTGCTCGGAGATTTTGCAGGAAGTCGTGACACTTTAATAACCAAGGATCTCATTTGCACGAACTCACCACAGTCTCTTCTCCATCACCTTAATGTGAAAAAATGCATTAGACCAGGGGTGTCGAAACTCATTTCCACCAGGGGGCCACATCAGCAATACAGTTCCACTTGAAGGGCCGGTTGTAACCGGAAGACTGTATAGATCAGGGGTCCCCAACACCCGGTCCATTGGACCAGTACCGGTCCATTGGTCATTTGGTACCAGGCTGCAGTGGGACATAGTTGAAAAATTTGCTTATTTTTTACTAATTTACTTCATTTAAAGAAAGTCCAGTCATATCCATTTACTTTCTTTATTTGAAGATAATCAATTAAAAAAAATATGGTAATAAAAAAAAACTTTTATTTCTCAGGTGAAGCTCCCGCTTGGTGGGCCGCATTTGGCCCCCGGGCCTTGAGTTTGACACGTATGCATTAGACTATCAGTCAGACGAGTAGCAGGAAAATACTTGAGGAGACAGAATTTAGAAATCAGTCCCATCCTCTTTATTAAATCCTACCGTGTACAATAAATGTTACAGGTTGTATTCCGTAAGCTGAACTCATCGGCAGCTGTTATCGAGGAGATGACGGGGGTTCGGCTCATCCGAGTGGTGCAGAAGCTCTGCGCCGGGCTCGACTGTCCGCTCCGCTTCTGCAACGAGGTCATCTCTTTGGATAAAACCTCCATGTCCACGTACAGCACAGCTCGCCTTAGCTTCGTCACGCCTCGCCACCAGAGGGCCGCGACCTGCCAGTGTGACGGTACACGGGGTTTACACCGGAAGCACTTTTATGTGAACGTTATTTTTTTTTTTTTCTCTCTTGTCTTTAAACTCCCGAGCACTTTTATGTGAACGTTATTTTTTTGTTTTTTTCTCTTGTCTTTAAACTCCCAGTCTGCTTGTCTGTCCTGTGACACACAGGTGGTAAATGTCCTGCAGAGAACAACCTGTGTGAGAACAACCCCTGTCCTGAGGGAATGGAGTGTGTGGCAGATCCCAGAACCACGATGTACAGTTGTGTGTGTCCAGAGGGCAAAAAGGGCAAATGTTCCGGTACGACCTTTCACCTCTCCATCTGTTTTTTTTTTTTGTTTTTTTTTTAATGTATTTTTCTCTCTTAACACCACTCTCTCATGCCCTCATCAGACGGTCACTCGCTGACGTTCAGCGGCAGCGGCTACCTGAAGTACCACCTGATGGAGAATGACAACAAGGAGCTGATGAAACTCTCGCTGCGAGTCAGAACTCTATCCAGCCATGCTACGGTCATGTACGCTAAAGGAACAGACTACAGCATTCTTGAGGTGTGTGTGTGGGTGAAAAAAAAACACTTCTGACCGTATGTCATTTGCTGCGGCCTGTGCAGTTCTGATGTCTCCGCAGCTTAATAAAGCCGATTTGACATCCAAAATCAAACCCCACCTCCATAGAGATCATCCAGTCGTGTTTAGAACCAACTTCGTTTATGGTTCAAAAGGTCATTTTTAATTCTCCTTTCACATAAGGGTCGATGGGAAAGCGGTGGTCAGTTGATGAAATCACACACAGGAGCTATTTTGGGGCTGGGAGACAAACAGAAGGCAGTTTTCCACAGATTCCTTCTCCAGCTTGTCTGGTGCAGCAGGCTGCATACCAGGCTCTTTTAAAGTAAATCCTGGCAGGCAGACAGATGACTTAAGCTGGACAATATTTGTTTTTCTCCTGCTGCTGCTGCTGCTTCTGCTGCTTATCAATTCCATTTTGAATCACATTCAAAAATAACTCTTAGGGTGTGAACATAAGGTTGAACTTGTTGTTTTTTTTATTATTATTTCTTTGTTGCTTTTGTATTGCAATAACAACTCCTGACAGTGACTGACAAACTACACTTTTTAAATCTGACACGCTTTATCTAAAATATATTTTTTTCCCGTCCTGAAAATAGATCGTCAACGGCCGGCTGCAGTACAAGTTCGACTGCGGCAGTGGGCCCGGCCTGGTGTCGGTCCACAGCGCTCAGGTCAACGATGGGGAGTGGCACACTGTGTCCCTGGAAGTGGATGGCAACTATGCTAAGCTAGTGTTGGACAGAGTGCATGCCGCCTCGGGCACAGCGCCGGGAACTCTGCGCACCCTTAACCTGGACAACAGCATTTACTTCGGGGGTCATATGCGCCAGCATGCCTCGACTCGCCACGGGCGCAGCCTGCCTGTCACCAACGGCTTCCGGGGCTGCATGGAGGCCATCAACCTGAATGGCCAGGAGCTGCCTCTCAACACCAAAGCTCACCGCACGTATGCTGTGCTGGAGGACATCGTGGACGTGGCCCCGGGCTGTGCGCTGGCACCTGTTGACACCTGTAGCAGCAACCCCTGCACCAACGGGGGGAGCTGCACCTCACTGCCAAACGGAGGTACATCATGTCCTGCCTGGTTTTATTTTCCTCATCTGGGTTTGTGTTAAAACGCATCGAAATTTAGCATCCTGTTTCTGATTTTCTATATTTTTTCTCTATTCCCTGCCACTGGTCCGGTCCAGATGCAGATGTTTTTTCGGATATAAAAAAAGTTTACTTAAATGAACTAAAACTGTTTGTACCTCCATGGTGCATGTATTTGCAGTTTCTGTTCTATTTTCTTGATGCAGAATCATCACCTTTAAAGCCTCTTTAGGATAGGAACCACAATAGAGTTTTCCAGAAGGGAAATCCCTTTTTGATTCCCACTTGGATTTTTTAATAGGTTTTCCAGGATGTGAGTTTCCTTAAAACCGAATCATTAACATTAGAAAGTCCTCCACATGGTAGTCTCCCGCTGACCTTCATGCAGAGGAAATTTTAAATTTTTTCTTAAGACCTTTAAGTGCCAGTCATTTTGTCCTAACTGTAAATACTGTTCTCCTTCAATAATCTGTAGGATATTTCTGCAAGTGCCCTGCCTCATTCATGGGCGCCCACTGCGAGGTGCCCATTAGCCCTTGTGCCTCCAACCCCTGCCTGTACGGCGGCACCTGTGTCCCTCGTGCTGATGACTTTTACTGTCAGTGTAGAGGACAGTACTCAGGACAGAGGTAATTCAAGTTTTTGCTTTCCGCCGACGTAAACAGCAGCAGCAGTGATGTGTGTGCTTCTATCAGAGTAACATCTCAGTATGTACTGACCTACAGTTTCAGTGTGTATTTTGTGCTGTTTTTCTCTTGGTTCACCCTTAAACTTTTCACTGTATTTCACCCAGAGCGACAAATAACAAACTTTGAAAATTCAAACTTTTTTTTTTTTACAAACTTTTCACCCCTATTGCACTACTTGAGGTCACAAACACAATTTTGCTCTGAAATCAGATGCCAGTTGGGGCCGTACTGCAGAGACAACCCCTGTAAAAACAGCGGAAAGTGTATCGACAGTCTGGACGGTCCAGTGTGTGAGTGTGAAGCTGGCTTCCAGGGAGACAGGTTAGTCAGATTCTGGGTTCAAATATCTGCACTCGATGAATGATTCAGTTCTTCCTCTGGCCTCAGTAGTGTGCATAATGCAGCGCTGCACCTCACCGTTTGCCTCCTTCTTCCCGTGTATCTCCTAGGTGCCTCAGTGATGTCGATGAGTGCATTAAGAACCCTTGTGCCAACGGAGGCCAGTGCCAGAATACGTACGGCTCCTACAAGTGTAACTGCTCTCAGGGTTTCAGTGGACCGCACTGCGAACTGCGCACTGAGATCCGCAACGAATTCGTCTCCACCTCCTGGAACATTGGCCTGGAGGAGGTGATCGGCATTGTGGTGTTCGTCTCCAGCATCTTCATCCTGGTCCTGCTCTTCATCCTCATCCGCAAGAGGGCCTGCCGCCGCCGCCGCAAGTCCAAGACAGACGACGACAAACACGCGGGGGGTTCGAACGTGCCTCACTCCTTCCTCCAGAGACCCTACTTTGACGCCAAACTCAACAAGAACATCTACTCCGACATCCCGCCTCAGGTCCCCGTGCGGCCCATTTCCTACACTCCCAGCATTCCGAGTGACTCCAGGAACAACCTGGACAGGAATTCATTCGAAGGCTCAGCCATCCCTGAGCACCCGGAGTTCACCACCTTCAACCCAGACTCTGTGCACGGTCACCGCAAGACCGTGGCAGTGTGCAGCGTAGCACCCAACCTGCCCCCACCTCCTCCCTCCAACTCCGTGTCAGACAGCGACTCCATCCAGAAACCGAACTGGGACTACGACTATGACGGTGAGTCTGCTCCTCTGTGTAAAACTGACATTCAAACTTCTTTAATTTGGCTTCTTACATTTTTTTTTTTTTGGTTTTAAAAATGTTCCAATTCAATTACTATGCACATTGGTTACAATTGAGGGTCAATGTGAACTTAATTTAGATTTTGTCAGAAAAAAAAACATACATTTAAAATGTGTGGAATGAATGGACATATACTGTAATTGAACTTAAATAAGTAAATGTTTCCACTTAGTTACCTCAAACACACGTACCCCAAGAGATAGACCAGGCGTGGGCAAACTTTTTGACTCGCTAAAATCGAACACGGGGGGGCCAGCTCAGGAGCAGATGGATGAAGCTAAGATAAATGACGTGTAAAAGTCATGCATAAAGGCTAAAATGCTAACATATTTTTAGCATTTCCTATGGGGAAACATTTGTATTTCAGGGAAAAGGCAGAAGTATTATGATAATATAAATACATTTGGAAAAGTTTGGCGGACCGGATTAAAAAGCTGAACGGGCCGCATCCGGCCCCCGGGCCTTAGTTTGCCCATGCCTGAGATAGACCCTTAAACTAAACCGAAGTGTGAATCAGTTACCGGATTAGAGCCTGTCGTGATTTTTGCCATCAAAGATAGAAATATAAGAAAAACAGTGACTTTATCCAAAGGTGATTTGAAATTTTTTCTTAATTTTCTTAAATTTTTTTCCCACATAATTCTCACTGTTTTCTGTTACCCCAAATATTAATCAAATATTTATATCAATTTCAAAACAAGAACTGACTTCAACAGAGGCACTTTTAATTAAAGGGCCAGTACTTAATTTCAGAATATTATCCATCGCTCCCTGACAAAGAGGAACATGGTAAAGTAACACTTCTAACAACTTAGTGTCTAAGTCTCTCTCTCTCTTTCTCTTCTCTCTCTCTCTCTCTCTATCTCAGTACATGTGAATGTATCGTGGTAACTATAAATATATCTTATTAATTCATAAGAGAGCTGACAGAGATAGACAGAAACAGCAGAGGTGAAGAAACCTGCTGCCATGACTTCTAAAAACTCCCAGTGCTAATGCTGACATCTGTTACATTTGTTCTCCAGGATGTCTTTTTTTTTTTTTTTTTTTTTCCTTACCCTTAATTTACCCCTTTGAAGGTGCTACAGTGGTGGGATTCGTGCCTGTCACTCTGAGCTTTCAGGGTTTTATTCCACCTACTCCCATCTTGTGGGTTGTTTGAGGAATGTTGATATTATATAGTATTCATTTAAAAAAAAAAAAAAGATTTTACCACTCAAACTCTTCTGCGCTTTCTTTCCCAGCTAAAGTCGTGGACTTGGACCCGTGCAAGAAGCCCGTAGAGGACAGTGCCTGTCACCCTTACAACACCAGGGGGAGCATGTCTGAGGTTCACTCCCTCAGCTCCTTCCATTCAGAGTCCTGTGATGACAACGGTATGATGTTATAATGAAATACTTTTTCGTTTTTTTTTTCTTTTTTTTTTTCTCCTCCTCCTCCAGAATGAACTCAACTCTCTTCTTACTTGATGATCATGGTTGATTGCAGTTGTTAACTATTCGTGTTTTAACACTTCTTTTGCATGCTGAGAATGATTAACCTCCAAAGACTTGTTGTGGGTCACACGGTCTTCTCTCTCTTTCCTCTTGCTGCGGGGCGTCAGCTCCCATATGGATCAAATCAGTCCACAGATCCAGAACAAGGTTTTAAATAGGGCGGGTCCGGCCTGTAAGTTCTCCATCACATGCCTGTACAGATGGGAGAAATCCACCGCCGTGTCATTCACCTGGGGGAGATATACATAAGAACACACATAATATGCAGTGCACAGCACACATTAGTACACATTACATACGTTTGTTTGTTTGTTTTTTTTTTTCTTCTGTTTTTTTTAATAGTTATTAACATTTGACATTGTCAATAAGTCATTGCAGTTTTCCTTCGATACTTATAATTAGGGGCTAGTTTTATTCAGATTAAGCACAGAATAGCGGTGCATTATTCACAATTAATTGTGATGGTAATTAATCACTATTAGTGATGAATAAAATAACTTTCCTAATAATAATAAAATAAAATAAAATACATATATACACACGTTACACAGTAAATATATGTATTAATATAAATGGACATATGCATTCATATATGTGTATGTATGTATGCATATATATATGTGTGTTCTGGAATTATTCAATGTACTTATTATAATAATAATAATAATAAATAATAATAATAATATATATTATTATTATATATAATATATATATATATGGGCAGAAGCACGCCCATTGAATAACTACATTTATTATTATTATTATATAATAATATATTATATATATATATTATGTATAATATATATATATACTGTATATATATATTCAATATATATAGTATATAATATATATATTATATATAATATATTATTATTATTATTATTATATAATTATAATAAGAACAAATGTCATTATTCAATGGGCGTGCTTCTGCCCGTTCTTTAAAATGAATTCAAGTTTTTAATCTGATTAACATCCCACGTGGATTGTCAGATTAATTAACACGTTCATTTTTAACACCCCTGCTTATAAAATCGTCGTTACAGTGAGTCATTGTGTGCTGCTGATAGAGGCTGCTGCCCTGAAGCTTCACTCTGGGAACTGTGAAATTTTTTCATTGAGTCAGACCTCACTGTAACCATGTCTCTGACGTCCTTATATTCACCTGTGACAGGCGTCCTGAGAAATCACCTTTAGTTGTTCACATGGTGGCGCCACTGTACATCCAACCAAATACTTCAGTGTGAGAATAATGACTGAAGAACAAAAAAAAAAAATAGTTTATTCATTAAACGGTATATTCACCGCATTCTTTTCAAAATTTAAAAAAACTGTTTTTTTTCGTTAATAGATTAAGGAATCGGTATTATTGTAGATATATTCCTATGATAAAATATGTTTTGATTTGAACGGTTAATTACATTAAACTAAAACATCTGCATGTCATCGTGTTGTCAGCCGTTCACCCTTTTGTTTCTTTTGACCCAGTTCTCAGTAAAATCCAGGTTACTTTCTATTACTTTCTTTTTTTTGTTGAATTTTTGCGTTGTGATCTCATTTTGCGTTATGGCATTGTTTTAATATATATTTATATATGTATATCTATTGCTGTTCACTCATGTTTCTGTGCACTGTTTATGAAAACATTTCGATTGGCCAATTCTGCCTCCCTCACAAAAGGAGCGGGTGACAAAATTATACTTTTTTTTGCACAATTTGAAAACTTAAATTTTTTTTTATTCTTTATTTTTTCCTGCCCATAATAGCCTCAAGCGGATGTTTAGCGCAAACATCGAGGAACATGTCACATGGGTATAGACACGTTCGTTTTTATTTTTCTGCCAGTCCATTCAAAACCAGCTTTCATCTCATCTACTCGTCCCGTGACGTGGCGTTGTGGTGTCCGATCTCTTCATCGATCGGTTCAAAAGTTACCGAAGCCTTTCTCAAAAGAACAATGGAAACGGCAGGTGTTCTGAGAAAAATTGTTATTTTTTGCGCAACACGCCCAGTGTCAACACAGTCTTCCTCCGTGTTTATCTTTGTATATCCCCAGGGAATTTCACTGATTCCTCCATCTGTACTGTCGCTGGCACCTTGTAGCCTCCAGTATGCTGTAGTTGTTGTTACTGTCAGCTTCCACCACTGTGTTGTGACCAGCCATCAAACACTCAGAATGTGATTCTGACATTAGTAGTGTGTCTGGCAACACAATCAAAGTTAGTGTCACCTGTCGCTCCCACCCTCATCCCCCTCCGTTTGTGTTGTTTTTTTTCTTTTTGATTCCTTTGATTATTGAAGCATTTGCACTAAAGTTGCTCTACTCCCTCACCATTTACAAGCCTCCATAGTGACAGTAATCCACCTTGTCAAGTCTCTTGTTGACACGGTGGAAGGAGAAGGTACTCTTTTATTGTTTCCATCCGCCAGTGCTTGTGTCCCCAGTGTTGGGCTGCCATTATCTTACAGAGACGAAGAGTCTGTCCAAAACAATACGAGCTGCTAATTCAAAGGGGAAAAAAAGGGGCTACATATATAGATGTTCATATATCTATATATGTAGATATACATATATGTTATATATACATATATGTTCATATATGTTATATATGTATGTTCATATATGTCATATATATGTATGACATATATATGTTCATATATGTCATATATGTTATATATATATGTATATATAACATATATGTACATATATGTTATATATACATATATGTTCATATATGTTATATATGTATGTTCATATATGTCATATATATGTATGACGATGTTCAGTTCATTAATTAAATTAAAAACAGGCAGCGTCGCCTTCACTGATCTTTGTCTCGCGACCACAGAAAGTCTCTTTAAGAAAAATGGCAAACGCTTCTGGTTGAGTCATTAACCATCCGCTCTTTGTGTCATGCCTCTGTCTGTGTGTGTGTGTGTGTGTGTGCTTCATCATCAACCTCAGTTTATTTGTGCCCGGTAAGCCGATTGTTGCCTGTTTTTTTTCTCTTCTGAATATGATGTGACTTGTTCTTTCTCTTTCTCTTTTCCTTGCTTCATAAAAAGAGTCTATTTTGGCTCACGATCTCAAGAACCCAAGAGGTGACTTTTTTTCTTTTTTCTTTTTTTTTTTTATCAATTCTGTCTGCCTGACGTGAACTGGTGTGAACTTCCTCTGCCTAACCTTTAATCACTAACACTGGAGGTTAATGAGGAGAGTCTTAACCCTCTTCGGTGCAGAAAAGATGGCGCAACGCTGAGTTCCCACCACTCTGGTGGTCTCACAGGGGCGTTGCTGCTTCCTCCTTTAGGTGTTTTACCCCCCCCCCCCCCGTGAACATTCCCTTGCATGCGCTTTGATGTGGTGACAACATGGGGGGGGAAACATGGTGTGATTTTTTTCGCTTAGTTTTTTTGCTCGGCAACTAACTGTAATTATTCGAGTCGTTTGTGTTTTTTACCAGTGTGTTTATTTAACCTCACGGTGTTCTTGTTTTATTCATACCGTATTTAATAGCTGAGGTAAGTTTTTTTTTTTTTTTTTTTTTTTTTTTTTTTTTTTTTTTTAGCTTAGCATTAGCAATATCTACATAAAATGGAAAGAGCACTGTTTTGCACAATAGCTAAAAGATCCCAGGCTAAAATATTGACTTGTCAGGCTAACAAGTTCAACAAGTTTCAAATTTTTATTCTGTATCACTTTTTCTATCTAAAAAATTTTTTTAAAAATAAAATAAGAAGAAAGCTGTAACTCCCTAGCATGGGATCAATATGGCATATCTACCTAAATATGACCTCGTCTTCTGATGGTTACATTTTATGGCTTCATATTTAATAATCTGTAGTTTAAATTATGCTAAATTATTTTTTAACTCATTTGGTATTAGCAGTGTTTACTTGTCGCCCATGTAGATCCTCTCTTGGGTTCATAGATGGTATGGATTATATTTTTGAAGGTGAGACCTGTTGTCCCGGCC